GCTGTACTCTCTCCCAACGGTGACCCTCGGGACCAAAAGGCGATGATCTTGAGAGTTTCCGATCCGATAGTGAACGAGTGCAGCTTCCTCTGCGTGTGAGTAGTTAGTGGGTGTACAAAACGTTGGACAAACCGGTCATGCAACGTGATCAAAGCGCAGTTCCGTTGCAGCGCTACGTGTTGCAGGGTCTGTTTAATTTCTATTGTAATGCGAAAATTATCTCTAAGGTTGTCGGTCAACAAATCCGAAACTGTGTCTACCAACCCAACTACATTCCACGTTACGAAGACGGGCAGTCCGCTGTCCTCCAGCGCACGCAGGCTGTTGATTTCCCCTCGAGGACGTGCCGTGAACAGCTGGCCCAGCAGCAGCCCCTGGTAGGCGGCCACCAGCACGACGCACACGAGCAGCCACACGCCAAGCAGCGGCCGCAGCGCCTTGCCCGCGGGCGGGGGCGTCCCCGGGGCCTGGCCCAGCAGGGGCGCTAGGGCCAGCAGCAGCGCCGCGCCGCGGCCCCGGTGGAGGGTGCAGGCCAGGGCGGCAGCGGTGCACAGCGCGGCCATCGCCGTGCCCAGCCACACCGCCGGCGAGAACTCCACCAGGACGGCCTCAAGGGGGTTTACCGCGAGGCCCAGGCCGGCGGGGACGTAGACGGTGACTGGGTACATCTTCTTTTCGGTCATTATGCCGACTTGCCTAAAATCGAAATGTCCAACAACGCCATCTTCTAAGTATGCTCCACTCAGGCGACACTCTCCTAACGCCCTCCACAATGCGAGAGTAACTTTCGTATAACTAGGACTACCTAATTTGGTGGAAGAGGACACGTTTACATTCCAAGGCAATCCGCTAGTTTTCCTTTGATAGATCGCACAAAGCTCGGCAGAAAGTGACTTTCTTCCATCTGCTGATAGCTTAAAAACGTTAGTAGACTTGTTCGCGGCGGGCGGTTGCCATTCGCTGCAGAAAGGGCCAAATAGTGCCAGCAGGGCGTCTCTTTGCCGCCAGCTCTGTCGTGACGTAGACCACTGGTCTACCTTCACGAGTCTCGGCCTGTCACAATCCTGCTGAGCTACCGAGTACAGGGCGGTGCTGCCGTTAGGGGCTGTAATGGCCAGAGCAGTGGGCCGTATACACGTTGAGATCGAAAAGTACGGAACCTTTGAGATTACATCTTCCATGCCCGGCTCGAGCGTCATCCAGAAGAGGAAGCGTGCGTAGCCCGCGTGCTCGTTCTGCAGCCACGACAACGGGTCCCTGGGTTTGTCCGCTACAACCATCGCCACTATGTTCGTGTCCATCGCGTTTGTTTGGAACTGGTTTAGAAAGACATCCTCATTCTCACCGGGCAGCAGTACCCAAGTGGTCTCCGAGTGCAGGCCCCGGAGGAAAGCGCTGGTCCAGTTGACCTGGCCGATGATGATCAGGCTGGTCCTCTGTGACCGCACGTAGGGTGACAGCAGGGCCAGGGCGCTCGTGGCCTCGTGGGAGTTGACGGACGCGTTGTCGACGCCCAGGGCGGAGAGCAATCCCTTAGCCCCGGTGCAGAGCAGCGCCGCTAGCGCCAGGACGGCGAGGACGTCCATCGTGTGTGCTGGGTAGGAGAGCACTGCGCGCCAGGCTACGGAGCCGTTGTACCGCAACCGGCCAGGCCAGGCAGTCAAGTCATTTTGCGGTTGTCTTAGCCAGACGCGACGCATAAAGCGTTCACATGCAAGCGACGGCCCCACGACGATTGCCTCTTTGAGATAAAGCTCGTTGGGGAGGTCGATTTTGGGTCGATTCGGGCCTGAGAAGATGGTGACGAACTAGTCGTCCCCGTGCTGCCACATGTCCTCACGATGAACGCCCCTCACTACTGTGCGCGTCGTGCGCGTACAGCCTCGGTCCTTACAAGCCAACGTGGCAAAAGTGGCATGAAAAGTTGTGCCTACATTTAGTTGTCGACTTTTTCCGGGTCGTCCATAAAGTTCGTTCGTTTTCCTCAGGCTAACGCCATGGCAACGAGGGGGTGTTACGCGTGAATCACTTGAGCTGCACACATCGGCCTATCCTGCTCCACAGGAGGGCGATCGGAGAGTCCCCGAGAAAGCTCTAAAGCCGCCTCGATATAGTGTATTTCGACTAACGGAGGAAGAAGAATAGCGGGTAGAACATAAACGTTACCGATTGGCCGAGAGCTTCCCGCCTCTACGTCACGCCGGTAGTAGGGGTAAGCGCTCGGCCAATCAGGAACCTGCATGTTCTACCCGCTATTCTTCTTCCTCCGTTAGTCGAAATACACTGTAAGGAGTAACTTGAACATTGCGCGTTAAGAAAATAGTCCCTACCATCGTGATGGGCTATCTTCTAAATTAACAAACGCACAGTTGTAAACTGAATTCTAAATGGTGAAAAAGAACTTTATTGTTAAGCACTGGATGACTGCTGTTACAAGACAAATACGTTCAGACACTTCAATATAAATTTCTGCGTATGGCTATTGCTCCGCCAGGTTACTCCTAATAGCGAGGTGACTGTACTATACTCCCGTTCTCCCATCACCCCCCTCCTACCCCCAACCCCCACCCAGTTTAAGCTGACTTAGAAGGCGTTTTCGGGTGTTTTCAGGGAGCTCTGCGACTTTCGAATCTTCCTGCCCGTAAATGTCAAGCTGCCCGTTACTTTTCTCACTGAGATTATTTGCTCCTCATATTTTGTCGTCTCTGATATGGTACGCTACAGACCTCGAGTTCTACCAAAATTACTCTGCTTATAAGCATATATATATACTCTGCTTATAACCTATATATAGGTTATGGGCGCCAGATAACCTTTAGATCTTGGACTGGTTTTGTGACGGTGTTCTTCTTTTGTTCAAGCATCCGTCTTGGTGAACGAGGAGCGAACGGCGTCAACGGGGATGGAAATTCAAGTTCAAGGATTCCACTCATCACGAGACTTGACCGAGTCCCAGAAGCTACCGCGGGAGCCAGCAATAACTACGCCACACGGTCTGTACTTCTTACTTATGAAGGGCATTCTTGTGTGTGGCGCCTCCAGCGCGTTGCAGGCGCCAACGAGGGATGCTCGACGAGTTTAATTACTTCATTTCTGTCCTAAAGTGGACTTACGCTTGGGTTTGATTCTCATCGATAATTGTTAAACCTAACCCTGAAATGGTCTATCTTAGTCCGGTTCGTTTCGTTTCGTTTTCGCGTCTTTTTTGGGTGAAGGGGGGGGGTAAAAAGACACCAAAGGAAAGGAAACGAACCGGACTGACTGATGAGAATTCGGACGGAGCCCACAGATTGATGTTTGTTGTGAGTGACAGACGGGGAGTGACGCCGTGCAGGGCATTCCCTCTCTGAGCTCGGGGTAGCGCCGCACGTAGGTGGGTCGATACTCCTGGGGAGGGTAGCTCCAGCGAGGCGTACTTCTGTCGCTCCCACAATGAAGAGGAGTTGTGATTCACCCACAAAAAATCTCCAAGAATCGCACACAGCGCCTTCGCAAGGGCGCAGGGGCGGAAAAGAGTGTGTTGCGTGAGACAGAGGGATTCTTGCTGGTTGCGTTTAGTTGCTTTATTTCTGTCCCAAAGTGGACGGATAAATATACTGATAGGAACATAAAACATACAAAAATCTTCAAGACACTGATTTACAAAACTTGCGATTCCTAAAATGTAGGAAATTGCAAATCAACACTCAAAAAATACAAATGCAGCATTGCAATAAGAAACATCCATCATGTAAACTAGTCCGTCTCGTAGTGCTTAAACCAGTTCCTTCTCTGGAAGACTTGAAATGTGCTCTACAAGTGTCGCTGTTAAAAGATCGGTATCGATAAAGAGAAAAAAAGATGAGGGTATTTTACATTATTATTCATTCTTGCTGTCCAATGCACCTTACGCTTACGCTAATGTTCATATAATATATCTAACCAGGATGGCTATTCAAAAGACTAAAATTCGTAATGGTGTAGCGCCGCGCGCTAATTGTACAATTAGACATTTCTCTGATAAATG